AAAAATCAGGAAATACTAGGAAAGTCTTGATAACTTGAATTTTCTTGTATATTCTGCTATTGTATTGGATCCACGCTATAAACTGAGGTTTGTGAGGTTTTGTCTTAATCAAGTTTATGAGAAAGACACTACATCGGTTAGTGTTATGGAAAGTGTTGATTCGCTTGTACGAGTGTTATCAAAATTGTTCTCCCCGTCAAAATTCTAAAAGTAGGGTTGCAACCTCAAGTCAGGCTCCAACTGACGTGACGAACATGGATGATGATGTGGAGTCAGGTAACTCTTTAGCTTTTCAATTTGCAAAACAAATGGAGAAAGATCAATGTGTGCAGAGTTAGTCAGAACTTACTAGTTATTAGGAAAAACAAATGGAGAAAGATCAATGTGTGCAGAGTTAGTCAGAACTTACTAGATATTAGGAAGAGAATTGTAAAGAGAGTGTTGAGTCCTTCGATTTATTGAGGTGTTGGAAGAAAAATTCTATTAGATTTCCTATTCTCTCTCAATTAGCTAGAGATATTTTGGCTACCCCGGTCTATACAATGGCATCCGAGTCAGCCTGTAGTACAGGTGGTTGTATTCTTAATTCATATCAAAGTTCTCTTAATCCTTAAATGGTTGAGCCTCTTATATGTTTGCAAAGCTGGTTAAGATCAAAACCCGTCATGATTGAAATCCAAAAACTCATGATAGAAGTATCTTTTAAAAAAGTGGGGAAATATGATGAAATTGTAAAAGGTAAATTTATTGTTATTTAATTTGAAATTTTGATTATCATGCTTTTAGATTGTATTATAATTGCTGGCACCAGGTTTCTGTTAGTGAAGATTGAAGAAATCCGCCATACGTGGAAATTAAAGATTGGAAAAAAATTGTTTTCAATGTTTATTTTGGAATTAATTAGAGTCCTATTCTTGTAATATTTTTATTAGGACTTAGATTTATTTTCATGTATTATATTCTAGTTAGGTATCTTTCGTACTTATCTAGAATTGAAGTAGAAATCGACTAGGATTCTGTTACCTAGTTAAATCGATTTCTTAGGGCCCAAGTTAGGTTTAGGGTGGTTATTTCATGCCTATATAAGGCTCTCAACCTCATATGAGTCCTATGGAGCTTTAATAAGAAAAATCCCAGCATAAAGGCTTTGAAGGGTGCAACCCGTGTTGTAGCCCTGTCGGCACATCAGGTGTGGCAACATAACAGGTTTCTTCTACCAAGCTAATTAAAAAGTCAAAGCAAGAAAGCAAATTAAACACGAAGATTTAATCAAAGTAAACATATGCCCCCTATGTGATTATTACACCCCCAATTCCTTCAATTATGCAAGCAATTAACCCGGATTGTTAACCTGAGATGCTAATTTAATCATAACCCGCTTCCGCGTGTATTACGATTCTAATACCCTAGATTCAATTATTGTATTCCTACGCAATTAATTCTAGAACATAGCATTAAGCATAAATCTCAATAATGGTTACCTAAGAGATTAACTATATTTCTATGTTAATACCACAAAGGCTCTTCTACCACAGTTCTAATTATTAACCCGATCTTCCGATTCATGCGATTAACAATAACATAAAAGCACATAAGGCGATCAAGTTGATGCACTTAATAAACAAGTAGAAGAAATAATCCGGAATTAAAACTTGCATAAAATCATTGAATAGGGTTCATAAATCCCACATAGGGTTCCAAATAACATCATAGAAATAAAGACTTAGCTACTCGTGATTCTTATGATAAAGAAAATAAAATAAATAAATTAAAGAAGAAAAACTATGCTTGAGTCTTCGTTGATCTTCGTTCCTCGCTTTTTGTGGTGTCAATTTTCGTGCTTATGGTGTAGAGACTTGTTGCTTTCATAGGCTTTTCTTGATAAGGAAGTAGTGGAAAGCTAATAGGAATCAATTTGCGCCACTTTCCCTCATCAGGATTTGTTCTTCTATTTACGCCACGTTGGAGTCCGAATTTTGGAATGTTGCGTAAATAAGAATTGTAGCCCTTGAAATTAGCTTTCCAATGCCGCCAAAATCAGCTGATTTGGAGTTCGTGTGAGAGAGATATGCTCGAAATTGTGGACACTGTCAAAGCTGTGGCGAGATTCCTTCTTCCAATTTGATTTATTTCCTTATTTGCAACTTTTTCCTTTTTTGATCTTTTTTCCTTCATGAACACCTAATTCTCGTTTTCACCTATAAAACACAAAATCAATCAATTAAAGCACAAATATAATTAAATCTAAACAAAAGATCTACGTAAAGTAAACGTATTGAGCGTAAAATCTACACTCAACACACCCCCAAACTTGAACTTTTGCTTCTCCTCAAGCAAAATCTAATCGTAAGCAAATAACTCAACTACCGCCTCATCACATAGATTAATGACCAACTTCACGTTTTCAGATCTTGTAATTATAATGAAAATTCTTAGGCATTCGCAAGCTAAAAATTCAAAAGCACTTAGTTACTTCCATAGCCAAAAACCACAAATCATGCAATTGCTTCAAGCATCCAATATTATGTTTGACTCAAAATACTCACCAAATTATTCTACTCTACTAATATCGAACATTAAGCTATTGGGACCATTGGGGCTTTTTGGCTTTCAATTGTTAGGCTCTTTGGTTCGAGGTAGGAAATATGGGTATATCTGGCTATTTTTCTTGAATTGAGGTGATTACGCTGAAATTTGAAAGATAGGCGTTAGAAACAATGAATTCACTTAAGAGTTCAAAAGTCTCCACTTTTGCTCTTAAGACAATTAATCGAACTTTCAAAACAATTCAATAACTAGTCCTTACTTCTCTCTTCTATATATATATATATATATATATATATATATATATATATATATATATATATATATATATATATATATATATATATATATATATATATATATATATATATATATATATATATATATATATATTGGTCTCTTTTTTTTTCTTTTTTTTTAAATGAGAAGAAGAAGAAGGACCTTATAAAATTTCTCGACCGAACTCCAAGGGGTAATTTTTCAAGAATCTCCATCTATTCTACCTTATACACATTGGCTAAAATAAAGAACACCTTTTTTTCGAGGCTCTAATCAAGGTTCAAAGGAAAATTTCGATAAGAAGGTCGGCTTGAAAGGCTCAAACGGATCAAAGAAGACCCAAATCATATCCCAAATCATTCACTACTCAATACTTCGTATCATAAATTTCCTAAAGTGAGTTTAAAAAACCGAACATATAGCATGATCTAACACAAATTAATTCCAAATTTAAAATACAAAACATTCAACCAAAGCAATGCACGAAGTGTGATTCCTAGAAATAATTCGTTTCTAAGTTCCGTTGAATCGAAAGCTAAACAAACATTTAATCCTTAGCACAACAAAACAAGCAATTGCATCATTATAACTCATCGATGCGTTCGACTCAAGCAATTTTTTTTTTTATAAAGAAAACAATAAATAAACAAAAACGACTAAAAAAAATCCTAAAGCATGCATGCAATCTGAAACATATAAAGCACATAAAAAGTGTTTTTCCACCCCCAAACTTAAAATTTACATTGTCCTCAATGTAATTAAAACGAAGTTTAATGATAGAATACACCTTGATTAGTCGAAACGTCCTTCACGTGTTGCACTCCTCCATCTCTTCCTCTTCCAAGCAAACTCTTTTTTTTTTTTTTTTATGAACAGATGCAATTTGCAATTTTATGAACTCGCCATTGTTGGGTCGGGTTGATTTTTTCATAAACCCGCCCAAACCCGCTCGTGTTCTAATCTTCATAGACGCATTTAATGCCCTGATAGGCGCATTTATAGTACTGTCACGAAGATTTAATCCTTGGGTACGGTGTTCGCCAACAACAGAAAAATCGGAGCAACACTGATTCAGTACTTAGGGGTTTTACCTAAAACCATGGCCAGCGGTGTGTCACGCGCTAATTAGTTAGTCTATTCATCAGAGCCGGTCCTGCAAAAATTGGGGCCCTAAGCGAGCTTCAACAAAAGTAGATTTTTTTTCCCTTATATGTATTACCTTTTTTTTTTTGTTAATACTTATTTTTCGATTTTTTTTAAATTAATGCCTTATTGAGCTACTAAAAGTTTACTAATCTATTAAAAATACATAAATATTAAAAAGCAATAAACTTTGTGAATTTTTTTGATAACACAATAAAAAGATTAAAATATATACTTATATTAGAGATAATAGGGCTAAAACGCATAAATCATATCAATAAAATATTACTATAATATCAATCATTTAGCATTTTTTGAAGTAAAATATATAACCAACAAAATCATTATTATATATAATTTAATAAATAATAACGAAAGCTTGCTTTTTTTTATTGAAATTACCAACAGCCTTATCTCAAAAAACAACAAAGTACCACAATCAATTTTAGTGTAAGAATAATATAAAATATATCTAAATATATATAATTAAAATATTTATTTTTTGGGGCCCCTTGGGATGGGGGCCCAAAGCACTTGCTTGTGTGGCTTACCATCAGGGCCGGCCCTGCTATTCATGATGATTGTCCGAATTACCGTGAGACATTCGACGAGTGTACATGAACGGTGAGTTGACATATTTCAATCCGATTTTAGGGGGGCATTTGGGTGCGATTGAGGTAAGTATAAATAGGGGCCCACCCCTCCTACCCAGGGTAAGATTTACTAACACATATAACGCATTTTCATAAACACAGTATTACAAATCCTCTGACCAACACATCCTGATATCTACTGACTTGACCGTCGGAGTGCTAATTCCAGCGTCATTTTTGTTGTCTCTCAGTCGTCCCTTAAAAGGGGCCCCCATTACAAGCGGTGTTTGGCGGACGGATTAGGTAGCAAAAGAACTTGTTCAAACGAGTCTAAAGAAAAAACTACGTCGCAACACACATTTGATTTATTTTCCAAAAGAACAAGCAACATTCATAAATATTTACTTGGATTTTTTTTAAGTTAAAGCAACGTTCATATTCATAAGAAAAAAAAAAATTGCACCACAAAGAAAGAAGGCATGATGTAACAAGTAATTCAATCATAAGAAACTAAGTTTAATAAAAGCAAAAGACAAATTTATTTTTGAACTTCACAAGGAAATCCAGAACAAGCTATTCTATATATGCAGCTATATATATATATCTAATTATTATGAATCTCATCATCCCATTAAATTAAAATTAATCTCAACTCAAGGTGTCCATTAGGACAAAAGAAGGGTCTCCCTTAATGCAATCTTCTTCGACAATGATCATATATAAGAAGCAGAAATCGAGCAAAAAGCGCGTTCTTTATCAACCTTCTGTGACCTCTTACAATGAGCAATCGCCGCCTGTATCGAACTGTCAATCTCCGAGCTCGAGCCACCACCGCACCTCTTCGAATCCGCAGTGCCCGAATTCGTCGAAGAAGAAGACGATTTTTTCGTCTTCGTCTTCGATTTCCTCTTGAAAGCTCCGGAAAACGATCTCCGATGATGATGACCCTCCACTAAATTATTAGTAGTGTTTTCTTTCTTGGCAATATTATTATTATTATTATTATTATTATAATCAGATGATGATGTTTTTTTCTTGGACTTAATTTGCCCAAACGCTTGCGGCGGCGGCGGCGCGTGAGTGTCGACCTTGGCGGAGGATTTGTGAGAGTAGTGTTTGACTTTTGGGAGGTGCTGGCTTTGGTCAACTGCAGCACAGCCGGAAGTGGTGAACAGAGATTTGAGGTAAGCCCACTTGAGCTTCGACCCAATGCCGATGCTGCTGGAAGAGCTGTTACTATTTTTGCTCTGCTTCGGCGGCCGAGATTTTTTAATTTGTTGGCCGAGTAATTCCCGCGACAAATTATTATTATTGTTATTATTGTTATTATAGTCGGCGAAATATTGTGCCGGGTTAAGTTCTCTGCTGACGTGGCAGGATTCCGCGGGGGAGATGTTGCATGATTGGAAAGGTGTGTTGGCCGTGGGAGTACTAAAGAGCGGGGTGGTGCCGCCGCCGCCGAAGGGATATTCTTCTTCTTCTTGTTGTTGTTGTTGTTCTTGTTGGTTGTTTGGGATTTGGTGGTGGAGAGGGAGGAGCTTGCCCATGTAGAAGAGGTCGTCGGCGGGGGAAGTGGTGGTGTGGCGGTCGGAGGAGCTGTTTGAGAAGCTTTGGAACTCGAATTCTTTATTATTAATAAGAAAGCTTTGGAAGGAGGAGGAGGAGGATGAATCCCGGTCGGGTTCCATGTTTATGTAACTATCTTCTGATTCCGATTCCGAAGAAGAAGATTCTGATTCTGTTTCTGTGTATGAGGTGTAAATGTTTGCTTCCATTTTGTTTCTCACTCTTTGTTTTCTGTAGGATTTGTTTGTTTGTTTGTTTAGGTAGGTTGTCTCTAGCTATTATGTGTAAGAAAATTAAGAAGGATGAAATGAAAGCTTTAAGTTTGGAATACAGCGTTCGAGCTTTCTTTATATATACTCCAAGATGCCAATTTTATTTATTTATTTATTTATTTTTGTTTTTTTTTATTATTATTTGTTTTTTCTCGTAGATTTTATGGGTGGGTTCAATTGATATTGGCCAAATTCAACAAACCAATTTTATTATTATAAGTGTGCTTTCTTATTTTAAATAAATTTTAATATTTGGTTTAATAAATTAATTTTAAAAAATCAAAATTTATGTTTACAAGTAGTGCTTGAACAAATATTAGCAACTATCTGCATATCCAATTATATATGAGATACAAAAATGTAGATTTACTCAGTGCATTGGAATTGGTTCAAGCTTGGAGTGGATCTAGACCTTATAAAACAATCAATTTTTATTATACATAGTACATTAAAAAACAATCAATTTCTTTTTTTTGGGGAGGAGGCGGCTGCCCCCTTGGCATAGCATAGGTACGACCTTGGGTTGGTTGCGGGTCCTTTTGTACCAAAAAAAATTAAGTAACCAATTATCTAATTTTTTTCTTGGAAATTGTTTTCCGTGAAAAAAGATGAGATAGTTTGGGTAAAAAGTTGCCATCAAACCTTAAGTCGTTCAAATCATTAGTGAATTATATTTTCTTGTGATTGGTTCAAACTCGAGGACAAATCATGTCGAAATTTCATAAGCATATGCTTAGTTGAGCTCAACCAAATTAGTTACTCATGGAAGAAATTCTCAAAATCACATAAACATTTTGTGAATTCAACTTGATGTAATCTACTTGCAATTTAGGCCAATGAGGTTTAAACTAATTACTTTTATGAAAAGCTTAATTAAAGGCTTCATTTAAAGTTTATTATTCTCAAAATTCACTATTTCGAGGGTTTATCCTATATTACATCGGGTGAAACAGATTGTGTAGATCTTTACCATTCATAAGTACACAAACACAAACCCATATTAGTGAGTTTGGACCAATGGTAAAAGTTTATGCGCTGTAACATTGACCGCATGTAGTATAAAAATTAAGCCTATTTTGAGATGTGTTTCTAGAGAACATTTTATTCTACTAGATATTTTGTTGTCGGCTTGAACATCGAAGGCAAATTATCAGAATAACTCCGACGAGTCATTTAGTGTGTATACTTTTTTATAAGCTTGCTTCTACATTTTTACTTGACACGTGAATTTCTACCCGAGATGCATGATATTGGACTTGGGCTTAGAAATTTGTAAGTTTTGTAAATATTTTTATAGTAACATCAACACTTAATTTTATTTTATTAAAACTATTTGAGCACGAGCCTTTACGAAGAAAACAGATCCAAATTATTATATACGAATTAAATCGCACAATGCTATTTACTTAAGTATTCTAAATAGAATTATTAGATGAAATTATTATAATCATCATTAGCACAACGTTATTCGTTGACAACTTGTATCGCTATAAATAAATGTATTTTGTGGTTTAATAATTGGGGTGTGCGGAGACCCGCAACTGTCCAGTAGCATCTCTAAAATTAAACCTACTAGTATATAATGGTAGCAAGAACCCAGGATTCAAGGGACCAAAATAAAGTTATTCTATACTTTGGCATTTTTTATCAATTCAAATTGTATATAGAGAGAGAGAGAGAGAGAGAGAGAGAGAGAGAGAGAGAGAGAGAGAGAGAGAGAGAGAGAGAGAGAGAGAGAGAGAGTAGATAGTCTGAAATTTCTTTTTTAGTTTTTTTATTAAATCTATGGTACGATGTAAATGTTGAATTTACTAATTGTTTTATAGGGTAAATTACAAACACCCCCTGAGGTATGACCAAATTACAAAAACACCCCTCTTGTTTAGATAATTACAACCACCCCCCTCAACTCATCAAATTTAGTGGAATCTTCGAGATTATATGGAATATTATCACTTTTGTACCCGTTTTATCCCATTCAAACTCTACATTATGAAGCAAGATGACCATAATATGTGATTTTTAGCTTGTATATATCAGTTTGTGGTGCATCGAAAACTGTATTTTTTACACAAAGAGTACAAACTAGAGCACATTTCACGGAATCTAGATGACTATGTTGAATTTGGCACCATAAAGGTAAGAAAAAATCATAGTTGATGGGGGTAGATGTAATTATCCAAACAAGAGGGGGGTTTTTGTAATTTAACCATACCTCAGGGGGTATTTGTAATTTACCCTTGTTTTATATTGAATGAATATTCGAATCACTAAGAAATGTGTTAAACATTGTGAACGATTAAGTTTATTTTATAATTAAATATCGATAATATTAGAACAATACTATTTTTCTATAACCCTACATAAATGGATATATATGTTATTGTTAATTTAATTGTGAGTAACATATATTGCTAAATATGATTTGCTTAATTAGTAAAATTAAAAAAAATTGATGAACATAAAACACTTCATGTAGACTAAGTTACATATATTTAACGTTGATATAATATAAAATCAAATTTAAAGTAAAAACTGGAAAATAACATTCTCAATTGTTAAAAATAAATATATATTATAAATTGAAAGTATGAAAATATATTAAAGTTGTTAAAAATAATCAAAAATATTTTTTTTAGCTTGTCATATGATAAATTTTGCATATGGATTTTTTTTGACTAAGCTACGGTAGGATTCGAACACAAGACAATTCATTCGCCTTTTCCTCTTTCTTTTCATTTAAAATAATAAAATAAAAAATTACCTTATAAATTGGCTTACAACCGAACCTAAAGAGAAATAGAGAATCGAACATTTGACCTTAATACTACCCTCCCCACCCCAAAGCCACTCAAGCAATGGCTTCACAGTTAAACAAGATCGTTCGTATGACACGAATTCGATATCTTACTGGATAATCACCTCAATCAAAAACTTAAATAGTTAGTGAAGTTATATTTAATATTTATGTATTGCTCCAACACGCCCCCGATCACGCACAGTCGTATTATGTTTTTGAAATCTTGTATGCAGGGGCGTGCGTACCCATGGGTATACTTGGGGTGGCCCCGCCCCCTAGATTTTCTTTTTAACATTTTAATAGGTATTTCTCTATTAGTTAATACACTTTCGCCTCCTCAAACTTTTAATGTTATACACTTTAGTACATAAAAATAAAAAGAAATCTTTTCTTAATTCATCCCATATTCTCGTCCGCCAAAAAAAAAAAACCCTTGGGGCGGCCTCTGCTTGTACGTGAGATTTTTAAAATGAGTGACCATGGATATTCAAACACTTATTTGATATAACTGAAGATTAATCATGCTTGAATAATATAATTTTTCGAGTGTTATGAATTGTTGAACAAACACGTTATAAATATCGCACTCTTCAACATCAATAAAAAAAGAAATCCTACCTTCTTTTACTGAATTCAGGGATTAGCTTTTTTTCTTTTTTTCTAACCCAATTGTTTTTCTGTCTTTTGCGATGGTTAATATATATTGTTGAGTGAGTACTCGTGTGCCATCTTTATCAATGATTTGTTTTCTAATAATACTTTTAAGCATTATTACATAATTATTTATTCAAAAAAATTAATATTTTATTGACTTACCATTTTCTATCACATTAGAAGATCCGACATTTCGTGGTGGAGTGATAGACCGTGAAGTTCGAGGTCTTTCTATAATATAACATATATTCTTTTAATTAAGGTTAAATAACACTTAACCCCACGTGGTTATAAACTTTTGCTGATGACCCCCTTGTACTTGTAATATCAGCACATTACCCCCTTGTGGTTGACGAGAGTAGTTTCCGTTTGTTTTTCTGTCAAACTTAATCGCATGTGTCAAACGTCAAAGTACTTTTTTCTGCAGATGAACCTTGTGCTTTCATTTTTCCTTTCATTTTTGCAGATGAGCACCTTAAAATTTGACGGAAAGACAAACGGAAGCTACTCCATAAACGACAAGGGGGTTATGTGCTGATAATACGAGCACAAAGAATCATCTGCAAAAATTGGTCTTAAGTGCTATTTACCCTTCAATTAATTTGTCACATTTATATATTAATATATCTCTTAAAATAGTACTCTCCATTATATGCCTTCCCATATTGAGAAATAAGTATATATTTGAAAATATCTATTACTACTTAACTATAAATTACTTTGACTATTGTTGTTGGAAGATCATAGTATTAATACATTAAAGGTAACAAGCCATCATCCACATGTATTGGTTCAAACTCAATTGGATGCTATATTCTTGATCAAATGATAAACATTTTTATAATCCATTGCATATATTATCTACACACCTTTACTTGCGGTAATTAGACATGACTATTGAACTGGTTTGGCTCGAATGTGATTCTTAATCCGCTTGTAAATCAATCAAAATGGTCAATCGATTGAAAATTATAATAGACACGTGGGTATACAAATCAATTAAGAGTTGTATTGTTTAAAAAATATGACACGCCATGTAAATTTCACGTCTAATGGTCGATTTATCCATCATATTCGTTACATTTTAAGTTTTTGCTTTAACTTTGGTGCCTTGGTTGAGATCTTTCCACCATTACAAATTTTCAAGCCATTAAATATATTCGTTACACAATAAATTCGTATTAATAGTACAAATTAATATGATATTACGATCTTTCATCTTTCGACCATCATATCTTAGCTTGATTTATAACGAATTATATGTACTAGCTTAGTATTTAGTAAACTTTTAAAGTTATTGAAAAAATTTCATTACATAATTATTGTTGGTTTAGTATCCAACTTATAATCAAATTTTAAATGGAAGTATGAAAAGACACTGCCGATTTTAAATGAGTCATGTGTTCTTGCCATGAAAAAACATGTACTTTTAAACATGTTGCTAATTACTTTATTACTTAATTTGGCTTTCTAAAGCTAGATCAGATTTTCGAGTTACTACATAACAAGAATGATGTATATATGAT